GATTATTTGCAGTAAAGTGTTCAGTCACTTATTGTGACTGAGTATTATAGGAAAATTGAAAATGCAAAAAATTTTGTGTCAATGAAATACATAGTAGGAGAATTGAATCTTGTCAATTGACATAATAATAATAATGATCGTAAGGACAATCAATAATAATAACATTGTAAATGTTCATTGATACAGTTGACCTTATTCATATTTATACGTTTAATGTCGATAGTTATTTGTTGAGTCAGTCAGACGACGTAGGTTTGTTCATTTACACTTCATCAAACTGATATTTCAAATGCTTGTCAAAAATGGTTACATTCGTAATGTCTAGACATTGCAGGTTTCATATTACGGCGGTTAACAATATTCACATATGACTGATTAAACACACTAGTTTTTATTGCGACCAAAAAATTAATTTTAAAATGCAGAACTACAAATAATTTACAATAAACCGTTTCAATGGACTTTTAAAATTAACCGCATTGAAATCTAACATTTTCTAATTCTCATTATGAATGACCATTTACAAAATAATCGTTTACTGAATATTAAGTGCCTATTTAGGAAAATTTATTACTACTTTCATGTACTGTCAAAGTCAGTTCATTAAATGATGGTCTACGGTTGCTTCATCTGAATTATACATATTGCTATCAGTAATTTATCATGATGAATTATTGATATTCAAAAGCGAAGAATATTTGAGCGAACAATTGTTTTCAATAACTTCAACATCAGGCTCTACAGTTATATGTCCATAATTATAATATTTTTTACAAAGGCCAAAAATAAGGCATGTATTAATGAGTTTGACAATGTTAAGTGTTAAAAATTGGTGAACGTATGCATCTGTTACGATATATAGATATATATACTTCAAAAAATTGTAATATTTGCAAATTAGAAAGGTCATTCAATAAAGGTCAGTAAATTGTTCAGTCACAATAAGATAATGGTACTATTGCAAAATTGAAAATAATTTTGTCAACTGAGCCCCGCGTGGTGCGGGATCGTGGATGCGCACTGCTGAGGAGTCCCATACTAGGACGAAACGGCCGTCCAGTGCTTCCAGGTTTTCAATGGTGGTCTAGCTTCAACTGACTCATGATTTAAATCTGTGAAAATTTCTAAAATCTCCACAAACCCCTTCTGATAACTGAGATAATAATAATAATAATATTGTTGTGTGAATATAATATGTAATAAGGGGGGGGTGTTATCAAGGTAATTACGGTCAACAAATTGGGAATGATGGATATGAAGATTAAGATATAGATAATGATAAGGAAAATAAATAAAAATGAAGGAAGGGGTAAGAGGTTTATAATATTCAGTCTAGGTATTTTGGTGATCCAGTCGTAGGCCAGGGTAAACATAGAGGCTGGATATATTTTTTCTGGATGCATAAATTAGGTAGATATTTTGGAACTTGATATAAAACAGAGGAAGCTTCCTCTATTTTGATATGATGTTCACTATCTACCAAGTGAGAAAGAATGGTGCTGTTAATCGATTTGGTGACTCCTTTTCCCAACCATGCTGGTACATGTTCACGAACACGCAAGTATAAAGCCCTCTGAGTACAGCCTATGTAACTAGCTCCACAGGAGCAGTTGAATTGGTATACACATATGGAGGAGCCCATCTTCGGTAACTTATCCTTGATTAGTTGTGTGAGTACTGGTTTAGTCGAGAAAGTTATGTGTACCTTGGCGGCATGAAACGTCCTCTCGACAGATCTTTTGACTCGACGTGTTAGAATATCACCCGCTATGTCGCCTTTAAAGTCAAGTTTCAGATATAAGGTCTTTTTACTGACTGTGTCGCAATGTCTTCTCTTTTTAATACTTTGTACGAGGTATTTTTTTGACGAAATTATCAGGAAAGCCATTATTACGTAATGTGTTCTTTAGTATAACTATTTCTTCCTCCACACTGTCTTCAGAACATAATAACTTGATTCTGTGGTTGAAACACTTAACCAAATTTATTTTATATTGCAGAGGTGTGAAGCTTTGCGAATGGGTATACTGACCCGTCCATGTACACTTTCTAAACATATTTCGCTTTATGGAACCATCTATCCTTCTAGAGAGTCGGACATCTAGAAAAGCTATGCTCTTGTCCTTCTCCTCCTCGCTGGTGAATTTAATGGCTGGGTGTACATTATTGAAAGCGTCTAACATCTCCTGTTTGTCGATATTTTCGTCACATATGATTAATGTGTCATCTATGTATCGACAGTAATAATCAAGCTTATTTAGGATGTCTTTAAGCGGTCCATTTTCTAGTTTGGTCAGAAAAATATTAGCAAGGATCGGGTCTAGAGGTGATCCCATTGCTACCCCATCTACTTGTCGGAAAAATTCATTGTTAAACTTAAAGTAGATATTCATAGTGCATTTCAAGAGAAGTTCTTTCACTTTGTTTATTGGGATAGGAATCTCTATTTTCTTTTCTATCAGTTGTTCACATATGTAATCTATAGTTTCAGTCAGAGGGATGTTAGTGAACAAAGATGTTATGTCTAGTGATAGCATGGTTTTTCCATTTATATTCATATTTTTAATTGTATCAACAAATTCAAAGACGTCTTTAACATTATGCTTAGCAAGTTCTTGGTGCAATGGTTCTAATAACTTAACTAACCATTTTGCTGTTGAATGGTATGGTGAATTTGCCATATCCAGTATCGGGCGTAGAGGAATATCAGGTTTATGGATCTTAGGTAGACCATATAGTCGAGGGGTATATGTTCCAGAAGGCTTAAGCATATTATAGGTATGCTCAGAGATGTGTTGGTGTTGATTTAGGAATTTTAATGCTGCAGTTAGTTGACGTTCGGTCTTTTCATTGAGGTCTTTACATGACCCAAGCTTTTGGAATTTAGTTTGATCACTCAGTAGTGAATTCATCTTATCTATGTAGTCATTCTTGTTTAGAATTACCGTGCCCGATCCTTTATCAGGTTTAGTGATAAGAATGTGTTCATTCAACTTGAGTTTCCGGATGGCCTCATGATGTTTACCTGTCAATATATTATTTGTGTAGTGCTTATTGCTTTTAAATTGGTTACAGCAATCAACCAGCGTGGTTTTGAATCGTTCGTGTTCGACCTTTGTCGTGGGTTTTAAGTCTTGTGTCTGGGTAAATAGATTCTCGAACTGAACATCAGTCTTCAAATGATCCACATGTCTACGACTATCACAAAACTTAGGACCTAATGATAACACTTCTAGTTGAGTCCTATCAAGATTAACAGAGGAAAAGTTGAAGACATACCGCTTACAGTCGTCTGGAAAATCCGGTTTAAAGATCTGTTTCTCTAGTCCTTTGATTAGGTCGATTCTTTTTTTGTTCTCCCTCGTTCTTTGCACTTCAAGGACATAAGTCATAAACGAATCCTTTAAGCTTGGGAGAAGGTCTTCAACAGAATATAATCTCTGTGTAATATTCCTTTCTAATTCAACAATATATATATATATATATATATATATATATATATATATATATATATATATATATATATATATATATATATATATATATATATATATATATATATATATATATATATATATATATATTTGAAGTATATATATATATCGTAACAGATGCAAACGTTCACCAATTTTTAACACTTAACATTGTCAAACTCATTAATAAATGCCTTATTTTTGGCCTTTGTAAAATATTATAATTATGGACTTATAACTGTAGAGCCTGATGTTGAAGTTATTGAAAACAATTGTTCGCTCAAATATTCTTCTTTTTTGAATTTGTTTATTAATTGGGTATTCAGCATTAGACAACCGACCGAATTCAGTAATAACTTTTATCAAATATTCAAACTGATTTTCAGTTCCTTTTTCAATAAACTTTTTTTAAATGTGATACATATAAGTAATCGTGGCAACATAACTAACAACTTCAATTGAAGGTTGACATTAAATCACTTGATCAGAAAACAAAAAATTATGCCAATACACATTCACTAACAGTAGGATTGCACTTAAGTTTTTTTTATTATTTATTATTATTAGCTTTATTCAATATTATATTTTTGGTACAATATAGAATTCTCAGCGCAAAGTATTTCAACAAGATTCCGTTTCTTTCTTCTTGGTCGGTCCTGGCGATAAATATTGAGGGATCGCCAGTTAGATGTTAGCACTTCAGTGAATGAACAACTGAATAATGTACATTCTTTTCGTTGTATATTGCCAGCAACCATATTGTCTCTTATTGAGTTTTCTGTAACTTTGATAACGAAAGGTTGTACACTTTTCAGAAATGCAGCAGAATAGGTTATGCAATTAATAGACATAACGATATATTAAAACAAACAACAATGGATAACTTGTTGAAATATCTAGATGGCAGGAACAGGTAGCCCAGATGCTCTTAAAATGTCTAAATTTCTTACAAGACTAAGATTACACAAAAAGAATTATTCATTATCATTAAATTTCAAATGTAAAAATCAAAATTCTGGCATTCAATCAAAGCACTTGATGCTATTTCGATTTCAACTAATCAGATTACAAAGATGAACAGTTTACGACCAATTAAAAAATTATTAAAGGGGACAAAATGTTTGTTCATTTTCACTTCAGTACACACTCGCAAAACAAGTACACAAATCACCGATCAATACATTTTTTTACACACTACAATTTCTAAGAAACGGGTGGTAGGGAATCTTTATTGTCGTGGGCTTAATGTCAACCTAGGGAATCATATAGGCCGGTCACTTAATGTCAACCAACATATTGTGTACAATCAAAATTATCTCCTCAATTATAAAAGTAACCAATAGTTTCAATTTTAATGGGATGTGTTTTGTTTGGTTGGTTCCCCTCCTCCTCCCCTACATAAAAGCCATTTTATTCTGTGGCTAGAATACAAATGAAAATAGTACCATCATCCCTTTGAATTAGAAATAAAGTAGACATATTCAATGTTAAAATAGATATATTGACCTAGAATCAACCAATCAGAAGAGTGGATTTTATTAATAGTGGGTGAGAAATAGCGAATAGGTGATTTATCTTAAAATTATATTTTCAATAAATGTCAAGTTAATAAGGATACACCACCCCCAAGTATTTTGTTCATTATTAGTTATACTAAAAGATGAGAATGTAAAATGACCACATAATTAACTTATCGAATGTATTCAAGGTCAAAGAAAATACTTCAGCTATTAGGAAGACTTAATTCTAAATATATAAATCTTTAAATGTTCTATATTGTATAAGATGAATACCACTGGATCGTTAAATCCTACAATTCCAAATCAAAATGATACGAATTTATTGTATAGAAGGGATTTACTTGATTATGTATTAAATTATATGATAAATAGTAATCGAATGGATATTTTATGCTCAAACTCATTTATTATGGATTCTTTGTTAAATGTCAATTCACAATTAAATTATAATACTGTATTACATAATAGTCCATTTTATTCAAATTTAATCTCTTATTTATTTCCTATGGATTTAAATGTTAATATATTACAACAACGTCAAAACCCCCAGATACAAAATTGGATTAATGATTGGTTAGTTAATAATAATCATAGCAATAATAATAATAATAATAATAATAATAATAATAATAATAATAATAGTAATAATAATATTTCGGATCCAACATTAGTATACCTTAGAGTAGCTACTCAATGTATTCTACGTTACCTATTAACAACAAATCATTATCAACAAACTTTATATTTGAATTCTTTTCTTCATTCTAATTATTCATCAACATTGACTACATATAATACAACTAATCAGAATAATATATTATTTCAATCAAATAAAAATTCATTAGAATCTAATTATATAATAAATGAAAATTCATCAATTACACGTATAAAACGTTATAAGTGTACTTATCCAAATTGTACAAAAGCATATTATAAAAGATCTCATTTAAATGAACATTATCATTTACATACTGGTGCTAAACCACATTTATGTAATCAACCTGGTTGTAGTGCAAGATTTACACGTGCTGATCAATTATCACGTCATAGACGTGCACATACTGGTGAACGTAATTTTCGTTGTAATGTTTGTTTAAAACGTTTTAAACGTAGTGATCATTTAAAGGTACATTTAACTAGGAATGTATGTACAAAATTTAATTTATAAAAAAAATTTCTTATATATTTAAAAAAAAGCATCGATTTCTTTTTTGAATAGTTGAAGTGGTAAACAACAAACAATAATATTTCAGTAGTTGAGATCATGAGTCAATTGAAGCTAGACCACCATGGAAGAACTGGAAGCACTGAATGGTCGCTTTGTTCTAGTATGGGACTCTTCAGCAGTGCACATCAACGATCCCGCCTCGCGATATTCGAACCCAGGACTTATCGGTCTCGCGTACGAACGCTTAACCTCTAGACCACTGAGCTGGCATCCAGATTTTCCATGGTGGTCTAGCTTTAATTGACTCATGAATTCAACTGTTAAATTACTATAATATCTACAAAACCCTAATCTCTATTTTACCAAATATATTTACTATATTTTAATAAAATGTATCATTGAATAGTTTATAAGGTGTTTGAAATCAAATATTTATTCTTATAGTAATTATTTGAAATATATATTTTTAAAAATGATTTTTACATAATTTAGTAACCAAGTTATTCATGAAGTTATTAACAAATGGATTGAACCATGTTGGTAGTTACAGGCTACCTGATTGTTGTCCACATGATTATTGTAACTAACAATTCAAGAGTTCAAGTGAAATAATTCCTTTAAATGCCATGGTACGGCTGAGAGTGGAGAGAGTCACCTCTCCCTCTCCAAATGCTCTCACATGGTCACGTGCATACAAACACTGCCAGGGAAGTCCTACTCAATGAATTCTCGCGGCATTACTGTTGTTTACGAAACTGAGAGAACAGACAGCGAATGTCCGTCGCTTTAACCGGGTTGGTGGATATGGAGGATGCATCTAAGAAAGCTGGAAAACACTGATTCTAAACGAATGGTGCACATGGCCTCCTGGGTCCTGAAGGGACAAATGGTGTATGAACCTATTGTTGATCACCGACTACCGTGAGAATGCGTCTCCTAACGTTGTCGCACTACCTTATGGATCAGACCTCTTAGTCAAAGACTTGGGGTGTGGCCTCCTAAGGAAACCACCTGCTTCGGTTTGGACACCCGGGCAGCATCCAGTCCTCACACAAATCGAATGATGAATTGTGGCGCATATGTGTTTAGTGCCTCCTTGTACTAATGTTTATACAATGTTTAATACAATTTTGAAGTATATATGTCTTAACAGATGCAAACGTTCATAACATTGCCAAATTCATTAATACATGCCTTATTTTTGGCCTTTGTAAAATATCATAATTATGGACTTATAACTGTAGAGCCTGATGATGCAGTTATTGAAAACAATTGTTCGCTCAAATATTCTTCATTTTTAACGTTTATGTGTTCAAATGAATAAGTAATTAATAAATGATTCGGAATAGGTCACAGCATCACACATAGATTCACCCTTTGTCTTTTTTAAATTTATCTTATACAGTTTATTCGGCGAATTTATCATTCCTTATCGAATCACATTGTCTATCCCCAATGTTTCCTACTATCGGTGATACTGTAACTAATTCTACTGTAACATTTGTCTTGATAGTTTCATCTTTCTGTATTGATATAGTAAGGCAACTTGAATCGATGCTCAAATGTGCTAGGTTCTTGTGTGCGTTGGAAAGTTTTATGTACATGAGGATCATCATAAATAAACAAGGAGGATTTGATGAAAATATAAAGGCATGAATTGGCAAAGCAAGGGCAGCGTTCCTACAATTGAAGAATATATGGAACTCGAAACAACTGTCAACCGATATAAAAGTCAGAATCTTTAATACGAATGTGAAGTCAGTTCTATTGTACGGGGCTGAAACTTCGAGAACTACCACAACCATCATCAACAAGTACAGGCATTTATGAAGAGTTGTCTACACAAAATACTCCAGATTGTTAGACCGGACATCATTAACAACAAGCTAGTATGGGAGAGAACAAACCAGCTTCCAGCTGAATAGGAAATTAAGAAAATACGATGGAAGTGGATAAGACATACATTGGGGAAATCATCAGACTACACCACGAAGCGAGTGCTAACTTATAATTCTGAAGAAAAACGGAAAGGAGAAAGGCTAAAAGACACACTGTGTCAAGAATTGGCAGTAAACACGAAAAGGATGAATAGCAACTGGACACAACTGGGAAGGATTGCTCATGATATAGTTGGATGAAGAATACTGATGGTCGGCCTTTGCTCCTCCACAAGGAGTAGCAGGCGTAAGTTTCTTGTAGTCCATCAGTCGATTTTAGTTCGTGATATTCTGTTTTCATGTTTATTATTGACCAACACATTTTACTCTGAATAAATACCCAAAATGCCATATAAATGATACAGATTAATCTATTAAAGGTGAGCTATTCAAAACAATAACTGCCTTGCTTGTTGAAGTGTTTCTTTTTATCCGAGACTTGTTATCCGGATTTACCTTCATTCCAGTATTGATATCTACACTTGAATTCGAACTTAATTCTTATTCGAAACTTCTTGGAAGTTTCTTAGTGGTTATTGTGTAGGTGCAAACCACACCACCTACTTCGGTTTGTGTAATCGGATAGTATAGCTACCGCTCACATTTAAAGTACAACTCGAACCGAAGTACAATGATCTATACCTGATGATGAGCAAATGATAATGGAGTTGAAATAACCAACAATTTGTTCAACGAGGATAATGTTCTCACCATATGTAAGACTTCGTATCAGTCCGTTGACAGTATTCACGATCTAAGTACACCAAAATTGAATAACTAAAATTCCGCCCTGAATATCAATAACAATCCATAATAAAGGTGACTGTCAAGTTCAGTGTGTTTTCTGAACCCATCTAGACTTTGAAAAACCTTTTACCATTTTTCAGTATGGTATCAAAAATAATAATCAGGATGTGATTTTGAATTAATAAATTAACCATGGATATGTGAGGTTATCTATATGTTTTTCTATGTTCAATAAGTGTCCAATATTCAACACTTATCCATCCATTAAATGGATAAGTGCCACATATAAATATAAGTTTATTGGAGATTTCATGCTCTACACTGACAACTTCATAATAGACAGATATGGATAACTTCAAATGCATGAAATGAAATCTTCAATGACAATTATACTCTGTAGCGTGGCGTCGAGTTGCGATTAACTGTGAACACCGCTACAGAGAAACACGTGCCAGATAAATCAGAAGGCGAGGGTTGGACGTAACCAAATAGATCCATAAAATCCCCGAGAAGCCAAATACCAGAAGGCCAGATAAATCAGAAGGCGAGGGTTGGACGTAACCAAATAGATCCATAAAATCCCCGAGAAGCCAAATACCAGAAGGCAATTAATGGACCAAATCGAGGTGTATATTTTCTGGCGATCTCGTGGTATCGAGAGGATACCGAGATCGTGCCAGGATACAACCTTGGTTACAGAAGGTAACCGAATTCGCGCGAAGTTACAATCGAAGTGTGTAAGTACAAGGATGGAAGCACAAAATAGCTGTCATTAGCACAGTCAAACAAAAGCACATTAAAACAGTCACTGGTACACTTGGTTATAATAATAAGCGTTTTTATTAAACCAGTCGTGTTCTCGTGATAAATGTGAGTTACTACAACTCTTCTATGCCCCACTAAAAAACTAAATAAATGATAAATGCCCGGAAATCTTGAATATTATACAAATATGTAACACACTATTGATTACTAAGGTAACTAAAAATCTTTAATTAAACGATATGTTTCTAAAATATTCTAAAACTAATCAAAGTATCCAAATTCTAGTTTAATCACATCTTATTATATTTTAATTAAACTAGAAATATGCCGAATTCTCTCATAAACCCGATTATAAAATGTCAATTTTATTTTCCCTCCATTTATAATCTTATGTCATTAGATATAAACTCTAATGCTTTAAACAAAAAACAAACAAACAAACCCCCTTTCAAATTTAAATATTCTTTAGAAAAAGATCTATTATTGATCTTTCTGCCGAACAGAAAGAAAAACAAGACAATGTTTTCTCCAACTAGACCATTGTTTCTATGATATTCATTAAACTTGATAAATTATCGGTTCCTTTACTCATTCATTTAAATAAAAAAGAAAAGATGTTCCGTTTTTTTCTTTTATTCATTGAATATAATGTTCATTACGTTTGTTAAACTTACAGTTAATCTGGTAATGAAATGTAAAATTTCAAGAAAATATTCATTCAATTATCGGTGAATTGTCTTTGTCTATGAATGATATTTCTAATCCTAGAATGATGACAATATATGCATTTACTTTGAGTTTGTAACGGATACAGATTATGAGTATTAAAATATACCATGACAGAAAATTAATTTCATTCGGTATACTTTTTATACAATAATAATAATAATAATAATAATGACAAGCAGTATTATGGATTTGTTTTTCCCCCGTTTACTAAATGTGATGTTTCATTTAGATTAGAGGAAAAACAATGACATTTCTTTGGATAAAAATATTTTATATGATTATGAGTACTACTATTAATAACCATTACCATTACTATTATTAGTATTAATAATAATAATAATAATAATAATAATAATAATAATAATAATAATTGGCGTAGTGAAGAAAATTATACCATTTTGCAATTACATCAATATTAAATATTCATTATCTACGTTAAATAAATAAAAAAGTTCGTGAACAGTTGTATTTTATGGTCTCTAAACATCAAGCCTCCGTCTCTCTGATCAACCCTGTAAATTAGTGTGGATACTGTAATAATTATATATAATATTCTCAATTGGATATCGATCAACAGTTAAATCTCATGCTCAATGAGCCACTGACCTGAAAGTTGTCGATACGAGTCGTCCCTTGCCCCGGTTATGGTTATCATAACCGAATGAGTTTGAATTGAATGATTGATTCAGAACTATTGTTACTGTGAACTAATCAACTGAACTATGATTAGATTGTGTGAGAGAGAGAGAAGTCCGGTTTGTGTCATCAGCTCATTCTTATTCAGTTAATTATTTGATAGACACATGTATTGCATAAAAATGACTAATTTTACTGTTGTAAAGCTTTCTTGACCAGCACATATTTTGTGTCATAACAGTTTATGTTATTAACTTCTTATGGTTGATCAGTTGGTCCGACAAAAGATGTGTGCAGTCTTGTGATTTAGGCCAGTAGATTATAAAAATAGGATAATAATATCAATTACTTAACGTATATGTATTTATTTTTCATTTGAATCTTCACATTAAGGATGTCGGTTATCAACAAATGAAATAATAAACGTCTGAATTCTGGTTTCGTGCTTGCCGTAATTCCATAGACCGGTAAAAAATTACTATGCTACACATGTTTCTCAATTAAAATCCAAAATTCAATGATCAACAATAGAAAAGTAATATTCTCAGTAAATATCATTAACCTATACATTTCATGGATTTAACAATATAGATGAGCCTATGTGTACCATTCGTTCGGAATCAGGGTTTCCTAACTCCCCTAGGTGGATCCTGTATATC